CTGATATTTATCTAGGAAAAATCCTGAAGACTTTTCCAATCACCATGTTCTGGGATATCTCCATGCATAAACCACTTTTATGTGTATTTAATAAGAAGATCCAAAAAAAATGTAAAATTGTGTATACTGGACAGCTAGCTGTACTTAGAAAGTGATTTGCTCTCAAAACTCAATCTCAGAGTCTAGAGGGATGACTTAGGAGTTAGAGCACCTTCTCCTCTTGCAGACAAGCCAGGTTCCATTCCCAGCACCCACAAAAGACAGCTCACGACTACCTGTAACTCCAGCTACAGTGGATCCAATGCCCTCTTCTGGATTCCAAGAGCACCTGCACTCACATGCACATACCCACATACAGACACATACATACATATACATGCAATTGCAATCTTTATCACTGCTGGTGAGAATATAAACTAGTCCAGCCACTATATAAATCAGCATTGAGGTTCCTCAAAAAACTTAAAAAAGATCTATCATATGACCCACCTATGCCACTACTGGGTATTTACCCAAAGTACTCCAAGTCAACATGTCACAGAGATATTTGTACATCAAGGCTGTTTCAGCACTATTCTCAATAGCTAAGTTATGGAAACAACCTGGGTGTCCAACAACAAAGGAACAAATAGAAAATATGTGATATATGTGTACATATATGTACACATACACACACACACACACAGAGGAATTTTTTTCAGCCATAAAGAAGAATGAAGTTATGTCATATGCAGGTAAATGGATGCACCTGGAGATAATCATACAACTTCAGAAAGACAAATCAAATACTACATGTTTTCTCTTATATAAGTTTCCTAGATTTTATACAGACACATAAAATCATGCATGTGTAAATGTGATGAAAGTGAAATGAAACTAAGGGAACAGGAGGAGGTTTAAAAGCAGCAGAGGGTGGGGAGGGGTATATACTTAATGTGTATTACACACTAGTATGAAAATATCCTTATATACCACACAGTACCATGTACAATGAATATATACAATGACTTTTAAATGAATAAATAATAAAAGAAAAAAACAAAAAATTCAGTCTCAAGCCAAAATAGGGCCATACTTTGGAAATAATTTTATTATACAAGTGTAATTTTAAAAATTTATTAATTTATTTTTATTTTATTTTACTGCTTGTATGTAAATGGCCACCAAGGAGAACAGAAAAGGGTGTTGGATCCCCTGGAACTGGAATTACACACAGCTGTTAGCGGCCATGCAGGTGTTGGGATTCAAACCCAGGTCTTCTTCAAGAACAGTAGCCAGTGCTCTTAACCACTGAGTCATCTTTCCAGACCCTAATACTCTTTTTTAAATTGCATTTTTATTTAGTTTGTTCTCATGTGTAGTATGTGTGGGTATGCATGTGTGGAGGTCAGAGGACAGCTTGAAGGAATGGGTTTTCTCCTTCCACAATGTGGATCCTGAGGATCAAACTCAGGATGTCAGTCTTGGGGGCAAGCATTTTTAACCACTGAGCCATCTTGTCAGACAATTAATTTCACACTTTAAAAAACTTAGCAGCCACAACCAAAAGAAAACTCTTAATCTGATCTTTGTTTATTTGGGGGGGGGCGGTCTTTTTTGAGACAGAGTCTCCCAGTAGCCCCAGCTGGCCTGGAACTCACAGAGATCCACCTGCCTCTGCTTCTGGAATGCTGGGATTAAAGACGTGTGCCACCATGCCCGGCAATCTGATCTTTTAAAATCTTCAAAAACCTATAGAAACACCATAGTAAATGGTGGGAAATCACAAACCTCTTTCAAGATGCTGGAAATTAAACAATGATGCTGATTACTATTCCATTTACTCAACATTATACTGGAGGTCCTAGTCAATGCATTAAAGAGAAACATAAAACTCAGATAAAAAGCAAAATATGTTATGCTGACGTTGCTTTCAGAGAACATGAGACTGTGCATGTAGATAATCTAAGAATCTACATACTCTTCAAATCAATAAATTAATGGAACAAGATTGCTGGGCACAGTATCATCAGTATTTCAAAAATCAGTTGCTTGATGACATAATGAAGTCCATTATTTTATATGCTAACTTAAAAATTCAGTTAAAACAACAACAAAATCAATTCCATGCCCATAGGTCAGCAACAAATAGAAAACAGACAAAAAACAACAACCCAAAGCCCTTTACATTAGCATAAAGAAATGTCAAATAGCAACCAATCTAACAAAGTACACAAAAGATCTCTAAATAGAAAACTATAAAATATTACTGAAGGTTCTGAAAGAAAACCTTTAATAAATTAAATGTAGAACTCCATATTACATTACAGATCAGAATACTCAATCTTAGAAAGATTTTAAGTTTTGCCTAGTTGACCTATATGTTAAGTGCAATGTCAGTCATAATGGTGAAGCTGCTCCTCTGGAAGTTGATAAGTTGGTTCCAAAACACATATGAAAAGAGCCAAGAATAGTCTATACAACTCTGAAGAATATGCTGGAGGACTTATACTACCAGGCACAGCCTCTTATAACACTATGAACTTAAGACATTATCTTTGGCACAGTGATAAGCAAACTGACCTGTGGAACAGAGTAGAGTCCAGAAATAGACTCACACGTGACTGTCACCTGGCTTATGAGGGACACAATACTGAAGATCAGTGAGGGAAGGATCGTATTTTTAGCAGATGATGCTAGATCAACTGGCTACCCATGTAGAAAATACACATTTTTATGTCTTCTTCATTCCATATGGAAAAATCAATTTTATACAGATTTCGGGTTAAAACAATAAGACTTTCAAAAGAAAAAGTCTTGTGACTTTGGAATAGGCTTTCAAACAGAACATAGAAAGCACTAACTAGTTATAAATGGGAGAAATGATAAATTCAAGTATATTAAAATTATAAACATCCATTGATTAAAACATATGATTTAAGATGTTGGGAAAATCCTATAAAATGTGAAAAAATGTATCTGAAGAATAGTATTCATAATAAAGAACTTCTAGAAATCAGTAAAAGTCAAACAGTTTAAATTCTTGGTAGGGATATGAAATAGTACTTTGCAAAATTGGTTAGAAATTGTCTCCTCCGGCCCAGCAACTCTGATCCTACATATATACCACATAGAAATATGTTCTCTGTTTTTCTTTTAATAGTATAGATACTGGTTACATAAGACACATTTATTTCATGGAAAATTCATTGGGCAGCATTCTTAGGACCCAGGTTCTTGTCTGTATGGAGGATGTTTAATGATTTTTTTTGAGTAGCAGTCTTACAGAGCATTATTTGTGGTTTTGGTTCCTGAAAATTAGAAATTATGACTTGTATTTCTTGTACTTGAAATTCAGGTCTTTCGTAAGTTGAAAACATTAGTAACAAAATGTAAAACATTCATTGTGATTACTGTTTAAGATAGAATGGGTCTTAAAACTGACTACTTTCAAACCCATCTCTGCTACTTACCATGTGACATTAGCAAGTTAGTTTACCATTTTATGCCTGTGTCCTCATTTGTAAAATGGTGTTAGCTGTTGAGGCTATTCCATAGGCTACACAGGTAGAAGGCTTAGTGTAGTTTCTGGCACACTCTAAGAACTTAGTGTTTGTCATTTTTACTAACTTTGTGTTTGCTTAATAAATATTTGAAGGCTATTGTGCAATTCGGAGAGACAGTTTCCAGAGATGAAAGAAGTGAAGAGAATTAAAATCCTGGAGCACCTAGTGCAATGGCCATACATTCTACTGATACACAGTTCATGGATGTTTGCTACTGCTGCCCCAAGAGGAGAATCAAGAATTCTGTTTCTTAAGTACATGAGAACTGCACTTCCATCTAACCTATCAGGTAGGAAGCCTTATACCATAGTCAGCATGAAGATTTGGTTTGCATACTAGAAAGAGCTTTAATAGTGATGAGGCCTGAATCTGGACAGAATAACGGGGGGCGGGGGCGACACTTACAAGTGATCATGTGATCCCTAAAGATTCATAGCTCAGATGAACCAATAAAGAGCTACGTTTAAGATCAAACAAATCATGCTGTTTCTCAAGTCTTTAAAAAAAAAAAATCATTAAACAAAACTGGGTGACCATGAATAGTTTTAATAACACAGACGCTGAGTTCAACCCCCAGAACAGAACACACGTCAAGATAGGACAGAACCAACTCCACAAAGTTGTCCTCTAACCTCCCCACATATTCCATAATATGTGCGTGCCCACACATATCATACACATACAATAATTATAAATAATAAAATGCAGCTTATATAGTGATTCAAAGATCAATCCCAATGCCTAAGTTTAATGACTCCATCCACAGCGCATACTCTCTCAACAAAACGTTTTGACTGTACTATTGCCATGGTTTCAAAAAATTTGGATAGTTCTAGGAATTTTTTGAGACGTGAATGAATTGACATAGAACTCCTGATTCAACCAACTAAAAAATCCCAGGGCTCTTTTGAAAAGCTCCCAGTGAGCTAAGGCTATTAGTATACGTGATCATGCCTTGTTTCTGGAAAGTTCACAAAAAAACGAAAACCAGCTATTGAATAATGATGCCTTTATTCGAATACTAGTTTGTTATGGGCTGGTTCCACATTATCTTAGGGCCTCTAAAGTTTTCTAAGCCGCTCGAATAAGCCATTCATCCACGACTTTCTCACACTGGGTGAAACAGGCAGGGAGTGAAAAAGTGGGAATCTCCCACAAAAAGCACTTGGAGGTGCCGGGCGCCCCGCGCCTCCTCGTGGCTCTGCCCACCGCCCAGTCCCGCCCCCTGACCCCGCCCCTCCTCATGGTCCCGCCCGGCCTCCGGACCTGGTCCGCCCCCTGGGCTCGCCCCGCCCTCCGGCAGCGCCCCGCCCACCCTGTAGCACCGCCCACAGATGCTTAGTCCCCAGCGGCCGCCAGTCTAGAGGAGGCCGGGGGCGGGGCTCACCTCTGGCCCTCGGGGTCTCTCGGGTTCCACCAATCAGCGAGCGCCCTGTTGGCCATCCGCGGCCTCCTGCACCCCTCCCTCTCCCGCCGGCCTTCGCGTCCCAGAATCCAAGATGGCGGGGTCCAGGGGAAGGGGTCCCCGGGCCGGAATGAGGCCGCTTTTCTGCGCTCTGCTGCTGTCTCTCAGCCGCTTCGTCGGGAGCGATGGCACGGGAGGCGACGCCGCGACGCCCGGCGCCGCAGGCCCCCTGGCTGACCAGCCGCACCGCCGATTTGAGTACAAATACAGCTTTAAGGGGCCGCACCTGGTGCAGAGCGACGGGACCGTGCCCTTCTGGGCCCACGCGGGGAGTAAGCCGGGGCCAGGGCGGGGGCCAGGTTCCCTCCTCGCCTTCCGCCTCCCGAGTCCATCTTCCCCCCCATGTCCTGCCGCGCCTAGGGTTCGCCATATGCGCTGGGGCAGGACTCCCAAGCAGTCCCTTCTTTAGGTCCCCCTGGCCCGCATGTCTCCGTGTCTTCTCACCCCTCTGTCCACCTCTTTCCTATCTTCCCTTCTTTGATCTTATAGGTACTTTTTTTAATCTGAGGCGTTTTGTTGCTTTCTACACTTCCCTGCGCTCGAACCGGCTTCTAGGTGTCGGGTTACATTACATCCTGACGCCACGTCTCCTTGGGGACACTTGCCCCAGCCTAGGCCATATCCACCAGAGACCTGCTCCAGCAACCTCCTTTCAGCTCCTGCTTGCTTTTAGCAATGTCAGGCTTGTACCTGATTCCCCCTGACTGCTTCAAACTGGCACAGTCTTCAGTGATTTTTAGGTCTTTGGATATCTTTTTTAAAATGTTGGGATTACTCCTAGAGTTACCTCTCTTAGTGACATGGTGTGTGTAGTCTTTGATCTTTACACTTTATATAATTTTATAGCCACATTTGTGCCTTTAGTACAGGAGGGTTTTTTTGTTGTTGTTTTGGTTATTTCTGAATTTGGGACTAAGAATAGGATTCCATCTTCTAAGACATTTTATAAAAATTGAAATAATTTCTGCTCTGAGTTTTATTCAGTCTTGACACAGATGACAGAAACTTGTTGGAGCACTGCATTAGTGAAAAAAAACATATCTGTATTTCTTATGCTGATGTGTCACTGCTGAATCGTGGTAGCACTTGGCATGTCATAAGCTCTGTACAGTGACAGGCAGATCCATCCATTCAGACATCATCGAATCAAGTATTAAATACCTTTCTATGATGTGAGACACTCTGGGTATTTGAATTATATTCTTTTGTGTAATTAAGGAATCGTTTTTAGAAAGGCTTTTCTGAATCATTTCAGATTGTCCAATGGCTGAAGCAAAATACTTCATTTCTAGAAAGTAACTGCTAAATGGAACACTTTTGGGAAGGGGCCATTTCCTTCAAATTAATGTGTAATTATCAGGTGTAAATTTCATTGAACTTAATGGCCAAGTCATTATGTAGTTGAAGCAGAGTGCAATTATGTTGTTACTCTTTTATTGTAAGCCTGCTGGGCACTTGTTATCAAGAGAACATTGCTCTTAATACGCAAAGCTGATGTGTGCGATACCAAGCACAGGTGTTCAGATCCTCTGTGTTTTTGTTTGGGGAATGACGAGTTTTTCAGTAGCAATGATAGATTTGTTTGCACCTTTTCACTTTTGTCCTCTCCATTACCTGCCTGCTGTTCTCTGTCTCTTCATCACACTTTCACACCAGCAGATTCATATCATCTACTGAAATTAGTTATCTTCACTCTCTTTTACAGAGCCTCAAGCAGTAAATCTAGTTCATTGCCAAAAAAGAAAAAAAAAAAAAAAAAAGATCAGAATAAGGGACCAGAGTTGTAGCTGAGTTTCTAGAATACTTACCCAGCATGCACAAAACCCTGAGGACTTCCGTCCCCAACACCCCATTAAACCAAGTGTGGTGCTGCACACTTACAGTCCCAGCTCACAGCACTGGGAGTTGGGGGAAGATCAGAAGTTCAAGGTCATCTTTGCCTGTGCTTGAGTTCAGTCTTGGCTATAGACTCTTAAAAATTCACACACACACAAGGTCATGTACCTTAGTGAATTAAGTTATGTGACTAGACTTTAGTTGTGATTTGTGTCCACTGACTTCAAGAATCACTGGTTTGTGTGGCATGGAAATCTCATGCCTTTGTGGTTACTGTAATTTTAAAGATCTATTAATGCTGTTGTTAATTTTTCTCCCTTACATTTATTCCTCTAGTCCATAATTTGAAACATAGAGAAATTTAGGATTTAGTTTAAACACAGCCCTTTATATTCAACCCCAAATTAGTTTCATGTTACTGATATTCCTCTTTGTTAACTCTTAGGTCCTTTTGAGCTGTCAGTACACATCCTTAAGTTTAAGGGCAAAAAATGGTAACAATTTATTACTGTTTATAGCTCTCAAAGCTCTTTCACTCTCATTCTCCTGTTTGATCTGTAATAGGAAGACAGGTATTAATCTGTTGTATAAATGGAACAACTGACGTTCAGAAAAACCAAAGTTGTTGGAAATTTTTATATACGACAATTGGACTCGAATCTAGGTCATCTGATTTTCTGTCTAGTACTCTTGGTTAAGGGTAACAGATAATGAGTGCACTAAAGTGGTATTGGTATAGTTCTGTTATTTCCTAGGATAAATGTCAGAATGGTTAGTAAATGAGAAGCTATGTTAGAATTTTCAAATTTTAGGCCTCATAGATGCCTTAATAATTAGTCCAGTAGTAAAAGGGCCGACTTTATTTACAGGCATATCTTGTTTTATTATGGCTCAATTTAGTGTATTTTTCAGATACTAGTTTTGGGGTTTTTTTGTTGGTTGGTTGGGTTTGTTTGTTTGTTTGTTTTTTTAACAAACTGAAGGTTTCTGCGCCCATCAAGTCTGTCCGTGCTACTTTTCCAGCCACTCCAGATCTTCAGCTCTTTTAGCAATGAAGTTGTTGGTTTTGGTTCATGTCTTTGAAGTACTAAAGGTCAAACCCGGGGCCAGTGAATGATAACTTTTATCACGTGCTCCTCCACTGAGCCACATACCAAACCCTTATTTTAATTCAAGCCTACACATTGTTATTTTAGGTATAATGTTCTTACATATTTAATATGCAATATAATGTAAGCATAACTTTTAGATGCACTGAAAAACAATTGTGTGACTTACTTTATTGTGTTGGTTTGGAACTGAACCAATAGTGTCTCGTGGTATGCCTGCTGATGCTTTCATATGTGTTGCACACCTATGAGTTTGATAAAGAAATGAAATAACTTGCCTAAGATCAAACAGTAAGTGGCAGAGCTGGGACTTGAACCTATTCTGGAGGTACAGACCACTATTTTGAGAATCACTTGTTTTCTCTGACAGTCTGCCAAATCTGAAGAACTGCTTATCAAATTAAAATTCAGTTAGTTCTCTCCCTGGGTAGATACATCTATGCAAGATATTTAAAATATACCCTTTGGGGTGCTTGGAGAAGTGATCAGGCCATCCCATCATTTTACAGACGGACATACAAATCCAAGAGAATTATTTGTTAAGAGTCACAGCTGAACTGAGACTAGGAACAGGATTCTGTATTCCTAGTAAGAGGTCCTTTTCAGTATGCTTGTTTCCTAATGTTTGTAACTGGTAAAATACATTGTAGGCCTTAATATTATGCAAATTTTTGAGGTATTTTAAAAGAAGATTATGAAAATCAAATTGTTTACCTTTTACGTCTTAGTGTCTTTCCTGCCTGTGGAAGTTTTAGTGTATGTGTGTAGCTTTAAAATTTTTTTTGCTGAGTTATTTCACTGTTCAAAAGACACAAGTGATGTCAGCCCTCTAAAATTTCAAATAATGAAATTATTTCCTAGCAATTTTTTTGTGCAAATTACTAAGTTAAAATGTGATCTGTGTGTGTGTGTGTATATGTGTGTGTGTGTGTGTGTGTGTGTGTGTGTGTGTGTATGTATCAGTCCAGTGATGATGTGTTGGATTTTGCCTAATTATAACTTGAAGCTTTTCTTCCTTGATTTCTGCCATAGATGCTATTCCAAGTTCAGATCAAATTCGAATAGCACCGTCATTAAAAAGCCAAAGAGGATCAGTGTGGACAAAGACGAAAGCGGCCTTCGAGAACTGGGAAGTGGAAGTGACATTTCGAGTGACTGGAAGAGGTCGAATTGGAGCTGATGGCCTAGTATGATCATTTCTCTTACTTAGAAAATGAGTGTAAATGCATATGCCACCAGCCTCTAACTGTTCTCTCCTACATATTTTCAGGCAATTTGGTATACAGAAAATCAAGGCTTGGAGGGCCCTGTGTTTGGATCCGCTGATATGTGGAATGGTGTTGGAATATTTTTTGATTCTTTTGACAATGATGGAAAGGTACATTTATTGTTAGAACTGTTGCCTGATTTATTAGTATCTGTTAGCAGAGTTAGACTATGGGAAATACGGCTTCCTTGGCCAATCTTCATGAATTTAGTAGCAAAGAATTCAAGTGCTATTTAAGCATGGTAATTAGTATCTGTAGCAAGAGAGTTTATCAAGCTGTGCAGACATGATTTTTCATACACTAATTTCAGATCATGGTGGAGCCCTAGGTCTGAAAACTTCCCAGTGACTCCACCAGCCACATGCCTGCCCTGTGTGTGCTTAATTAAGATGGGTCAACATGAGTCTTTAGATCTGGGCAGTGAAATCAGTGTATTTAGAGCCTAGAGCCTGCTTGCATGATAGTATTTGAGTGCTGGGCTGTGGCTACCTCATACTCATTTGTGTTAATCACTTTTTGGTCAGGCCAGTTTTTCTGATGATCTCTTTTAAAAACAGTTAAATGTACTTACCTCTTGAAAACATTAATTTGTAGTTCAGCAGCTTTAAGATTGATGATCTTCCCTTCAGCTCATTGTTTATTGATTTTCAGAGCTTACTGTTAGCGGTTGAAAGAACTTTGAATTACTCATTGAGACCCAAGACCTTGTTATTTTAAATTTTTGATTCCTAGAATCTTAGCAATATAAGAGACTTCATAGCACATTTTTTTTCTTGGTTAAAGACATTAAAATAAATCCATTCTCTTTATTTTTAGAAAAACAATCCTTCTGTAGTAGTTATAGGCAACAATGGACAAATTAATTATGACCATCAAAAGTAAGTGTGCTTTTCACATAATTTCTTGTTTCAGTTTCTCTGAAAACTTCATGAAATGTATCGCTTCAAATCTCAGGCCTCTCCAAATAAGATCATTCTTTTTCTTAAGATGCTATGTTGTAACTTAGTGAAGACGTCTACTTTTCACTTCACTTGGTTGTGTCTTAAAGTTCTTTCTGTGAACAACCTCAGATTTCAGACATAAAGTGTCTTTTAATATTTGTTTAATATTTTAAAAACAAAATATTGTTTAATATTTTAAAAGTTTATATAATAAACTGTTACTGGCTCAATGGAGCTTTTCATCTTTACTAAAAGAAATCTTTCCAAAATAAATTTAGCCTTCCCTAAACTTCAGGGTGCTTTATATCAGCCATAACATCTCTACTTAGAAATTGTCAGTGAGTTTCTGCATTTGTGAGTACTCAGCGTAAGAAGCTTTCATGCCTGTGCCTGGATTTGTTCTTTCCTGCCTTGATGACTTAGCACACTGGCAGTTCTCTACAATTCCTCATGGAGCTCTTTAAAGTAGAAGTACCCAACCAGCTTCTTTTAATTCTGCTCCAGTCGACTTGGGATGGAGTCAATGGACCTACATATTTTTAAAAAAATATTTTATTTATCATTTTTATTTTATGTGTATGAGTATATTGCCTGCATGTATATAAGTGCATCTGTGTTGTGCATGCCCACAGAGGTCAGAAGAAGACGTCAGATTCCCCTGAAACTGGAATTAGACAGTTTTTAGCTGCCATGTGGGTACCGGGACTCAAACCTGGGTTCTCTGTAGCAGCCAATGAATGCTCTTAACCGCTGAGCCACCTCTCCAGCCCCTCAACCTACATCTTTAAAGGTCCACGAAGGGCTGGTGGTATAGCTTAGTGGTATAATGCTTGCCTAACACATGTGAGAACCTAGATTCAATTTCCAACACGACAAAAAGTAAAATGAAAAAAAAAAAGCTCCATGAGTGATTCGGCCCCTTCCCTGGTCTCATACAGAATAGTGCTTCTTCCCTTGCTGTCATTACATGGTGCTGTTGGGCTTTTGATGTCACCCAGAGTTTCAACAGGAAAAGCTCCTTTGTGTCTTCTGAATAAATAACAGGAATTATGCTAAGATGTGTTGTAACGTGATATTATTGATCTTCTTGACTCTTAAATATTGAAAAGCTTTCTTTTCCTTTCTGTCATACTGTAGTGATGGTGCCACTCAAGCTTTAGCAAGTTGTCAGAGGGACTTTCGTAATAAACCCTATCCTGTTCGGGCAAAGATTACATATTACCAGAAAACATTGACAGTAAGTGACAGTAGTCAAATGAGCAATATTCTATTGTGGCTTTTCTTTTTGAATTCTTGACAGAAATTATACTCATTTAAATGTGGCTATGCACGTATCTCTGTGTGTTGCTGTGTGATAATATTAGTGGTGGCTGCACTGGCATATGTGGGCATCTGATGCACAGCCTTGCTAGTCAGTTTCTTATTAGGTCAGTGGTGGCTTAAGCACCCAAAGACAAAGGTCATTCTCCCTGACCAGCTTTTAGACTATCAAAGGGAACACTTGTAGCATTGCCATGCTGAGTGGCAAGGGTTGTGGCACAGGTATAAGGAATCATGAGATTGGAATCTTGTGAAATGAGGGTAAGGAAGATCAGAAAATTTTGAGTTCTTCAAAAGGAACAAGAAGAGTGTGTGTGTGTGTGTGTGTGTGTGTGTGTGTGTCTGTCACTGAAGGCAGACAGATCCTTGGGAGGAGCTGAATATTTGAGAGACGTAAATAGTTTACTGTAGCTTGAAGATAGAAAACATCCAGAGGGAAGTGAGATTGAAAGGTTGGCAGTAACAGTTCCTATAAGGAACTTCTAAGAAAGTTGGGAGTTTTAAGCAGGAAGTGAAATGATCATATTTGTAATTTTAAAAGATGACTTGGTCCCCAGAGTTCTTACAGTAGTACTTGTGCAAAGAGTAAAAGGAGAGATGATTTAGACTCCTAGACCTCTAACATACCGTTCCTTGTGCTTTGTACTTTACGCACAGCTTTTCCAACAGTCCTGTTGGATAGACCTTTCCATTTAGAACACAGAAAAATTGAGTATGAGAGATTTTAAGTAACTTGGACAGTTCATATTCATACATAACAGAACTGCGATTTGAACCCAGTTCCATCTTATCTGCAGGACTCCACATAATGTGTGACCTGAGGTGATGATAGAACATAGAGATGAGGAATACTGTCATATTTGCTAACCCAGAATAGTTCAGAATAATTGTGATTCCTGCTATATAATCTATTCAGAGAGAGTGATCATGGCTCCTTAAGTCTTTTCAAGAGATAAGTCTATTTCACTATGGAAAGAATTTTAGAGAAAACTATCAAAATTTTCTTTTTAACCTTTTGACATGTACACAAACATTTTAAGTGAAATATCTTAGCATATAAGATAGCAAGTCAGTGGGTTTAAAATTATCCTTTATAGGGCTGAGGAAACAGCTCAGTGGTTAAAGCCCTTGCCGTGCAGCATGAGAACTAGACTTCAGATCCCCAGAACCCATATAAAAACCAGGAAGATGTGATGGTCACCTGTAATCCCTGGGGCAAGCTGGTTAGCCAGCCTAGCTTATCAGTGAGCTCTGGGTTCAAGTGAGAAACGTGCCTCAATAAGTAAGGTGGAAAGTGACTGAGAAAGATACTCAGTGTCAACTGTGGGCCTACGTATGCGCACGCACGCGCGCACACACACACACACAAACACAAACACAACACACATACACATACAAAAAATTATTATTTATAATGAAAGGAGGCAAGATTGAATATTATCATTCTCAAGAGATGACTAGAATTTATTTTATAATGTCCGTTGTCAAAATCTATAGCTGTAGTATGTCTTTCTAGGTTCTCATCAATAATGGCTTTACACCAGATAAAAATGATTATGAATTTTGTGCCAAAGTAGAAAATATGATTATCCCCACACAAGGGCATTTTGGAATCTCTGCTGCAACAGGAGGTCTTGCAGGTAAATCTTGTTTTTTAATGTTTAAAGCTCGTGAATTGATTTTTACTGGTTATGGTATATTTGGGGGATACGCGGACGTGTTTCTGGTTAGCTTTTTCAGTCTATTTGGAGACTTCCATATGGTCTGCTCTAGTCCTTTGCTGTATTGAAGCTGCATATAAGTATGTACATGACAGCATCAATTTAGGTCATATTTTGAAGTAAAAAAGACATATTTAAGGTGAGGACATAAAAAGTTAATCCTCAGGTGTTTTAGACGCCTTGAAAGTTGCTTCATCATATATATAAATGCATTTGGAAACCTGAGGACACAACTTGGGGACACAACTTTAAGCAAAGATAATTGCTACTATTTTTCCACATGCCATGATATATGAAGTTATTCTGCATCAGTGCAGCTTTGTGTTTATATGGCACATGGCCTTTTTTTTTTGGTCTTTTTGAGACAGGGTTTCCCTGTAGCCCCAGCTGGCCTGGAACTCACTATGTAGACCAGGCTGGCCTTGAACTCACAAGAGATCCACCTGCCTCCCAAGTGCTGGAATTAAAGGCCTGCGCCACCACACCCGGCTGGCACGTGGCCATTTTAAATGCTTCCAAATATATGGATTGCTCTATACAATCCAAGCAAAAAGGGAAAAGATCATATTTTCCCCATGTTTTTAGATGTTTGTCAAAACTTAAATGAAGGCAGTTTCTGAAGGTCACACAGTCAGCTGCAGGAAGGTCTGAGTCTGAATTTCTGATTCCTGTCCTTTTACAACATATGCTCTATCCTGAAGTTACTCAGACTACAGTGCAGCATTGTTCCAGGTCTCCTTAAAGAGTGGCAGACAGTGATTGGGTGTGGTAGCTCACGCCTTTAATCCCAGCACTCAGGAGGCAGGGGTATATGGATCTCTGTGAGGTCCAGTCCAGGCTGGCTAGAGCTATAGGGAGTCCCTGTCTCAAAAAACAAAAATGAAACAAAACAAAACAGAGTGTCAGAAAGTAGAAAGATTGCTACACAATCAAAATTAAGCACTGTACTGTCCATGTTGTCAGCCTGGATTGGCACCGTAGTTCACTATCTTGAGATCCAGGCACCTTCCTGCCTTTAGCTGAAACAACTTGGTATTAATTTGATTTTGTGTGCTTTTAGATAAAATTATTATTAATTTTATCTAAATTATCTGAAGGTGAAAAAAGCAAAAATGAAAGGCTAAAACTGGCATACACCATGAGAAAGATTCAGAGTCCATAGGTGCCGGGAACAAATGAACAGGATTTTGTCCTATTGGACACTACGTTATCCATGAAGGAAACTGGGAAAACAAGGGAGGACCCTGGTGCTGGGATTAGGAATTTGGGCTTCTTCTGACCCTCCTTTGTTTGCTCATTCCCCACCAGACATTTCCTAACCATGTGCTCTATGTTAAATGCTGCTACATGCTCTGATGGAGGCTTTAAGAAAGTAGATTTAGAGTTCTTTTAATGTAAATCTTTCAGATGAGTATTTGTCTCTAAACTCACAGAGTACCATTGCCTTTATCAAACTACAGCTAATTTATTATTGTTTTCTTAAAGCAATAAATACTTAGAAAATAAATTCACAACTCTGAAACAATCAGGGGACTTTTTGAGGCCTTTGTTTTCATTTGTAGATGACCATGATGTTCTTTCTTTCCTGACTTTCCAATTGACCGAGCCTGGAAAAGAGCTGGTGAGTTTACACTTTTGCCCCCAGGTAATTTATTTCCAGTTTTCAGTGGTTTTACCCCATGGCTGTGAATTTGGGAATCCCCGGTTTGAGTTTTGTTTCTGTTCCTGCCATTTGACCTTATATAAGTTCCAGAACCTCTATAGCCTGATAGTTCCTCATTGACAAAACAGATCTTGGTCCAGTGGCCACCTCATGATAGTATAGGGATTAGGTGAGATGCATGTGTGTGTAGCAAGTGCTCATTAAACACTAGTAGTTACTGTGAGTCTTGGTGGTGTTAATAGAAGCAAGAGTATATTAGCTGTGATTTAAGTAAGAAATCTTCAGCCAGTGATGGGGTTGTAAGCATGAGAAAAAGGCCAGGTGCTGAGATGGTTTGTCAAGTCCCCTTTTTCATGACGTATTCTTACTCTGAAAAGCCTACGCCAGATAAAGAAATTTCAGAAAAAGAAAAGGAAAAGTATCAGGAGGAATTTGAACACTTTCAACAAGAGCTGGACAAAAAAAAGGAAGAATTCCAGAAGGGCCACCCTGACCTCCAAGGGCAGCCAGGTACGTTGTAGTGAAGCTGACATCAGTGCTAGAACAGCAGTTGTGGCTTCGTGGTGGACACTGGGTCTGTCTTGCCCATCTCATCCCTGCTCTCTGACCCAGCACATTCCAGGAAATTGCTGGAAACCGTGTAAAAGCAGGTCTTGAGTCCTTCAGGGCCTTAGGTTGACTGAAGAGCACATGGCTGTGCAGGTGAGCAGTGAGCCCCAGGAGTGGGCATTGGGGAGCATGGGGTTATGTTGGTTGGTTGTTGCGTTCACTGCTATATTTTCTAAAACAAAAAATAGTGCTGTCCTGTCCATTCAGTGAGTGAGTGCCAAATGAAATTTTCCCAGGTTTCTGTCTCCTTTTAGTACCACACAATTGCCTTTATTAAAATTTTTTTCAGTTTCATACATATATACAAAATTTTGTGATTAAACTCACCCCCATTAATTACCCTGTGTTATTTTCCTTTCTCTCTGAACTCCTCCTTTCCAACTGTTGAAGACAGTGACACCCACTCCATTCCACAGACACTGTTAATAGTTGGTAGCTCCTCAGGAAGGGGGCAGCTCATGGGAACCTCCTTACTCATGATGAAGGTTGCAAGTCCCAGGCTTGTACAGGTATCCATTGTGTATCCACGATGGCCGTGTCGGCTCTGGGTAGCAGCCTTCCACAGCACTCCTTCTCATCCTCCAGCCCTTACGTTCTTTCTGCCTCCGTCTTCCATGTGTTCCCTGGGTTTGCAGGAGGGGGCAGGAGTGGTAGAGATGCCTCATTTAGGGCTGAGCGCTCAACAGTCACTTAGTCTCAGCACTTTGACCAGATATAAGTCTCTCTACTAACTTTTGACCCTTTACAGACAGAGGCTTCTCTGCCCCAGGCTGAGCCTCAGTATGGGGAATAAACATAAATCGAAGTTCAGCAACATGTCCATTAGGGAAACAACTATAGTATGCGTCCCCCTTTCGGCCATGGCCTCTCCAACCATCTGCCTTCTTTACATAGAGGTAATGCTTGTGTGCTACAGCATCTAGAATGCAACTTATTAGGGCGGACATGGTGGCACTCACCTTTAATCCCAGCACTAAGGAGGCAGAGACAAGCTGGTCTACATAGTAAGTTCCAGGCCAGCCAGGCCTATACAGTGAGACCCTGTCTTTTTTTTTTTTTTTTTTTTTTTTTTTTTTTTTTTAAAAAAAAAAAAAAAAAAAAAAGATGAGACAGGATCTCCTTATAGCCCCAGCTGACCTCACTATGTAGACCAGGCTGGCCTTGAACTCACAGAGATCCACCTGCCTCTGCCTCCCAAGTATGAGACCCTGTCTTTTTTTCTTAAAAAAAAAATAGTAAAAGGGGTGCAACATATTAAGGCCAAACAGACTGACTTCATGGTATCTGTTGGTTTTCTTATCTAGGTTCCCATCAGCTTAATTGAGGTTGTACTTGATAAGCCTGTGTCTAGCATTGTACAGTTCTCACAGTGATCAGTAGTATGATTTAGAAGATTGTGAAAGTGAAAACAAAATAAATATATGTGTTTCTTGTCTTGAATTTGTTTTATACATCTTATGATTAAGCAGCCTATAGTAGATATTTGAAGACCATAGTTTGTTGGATTTTGACAGTTGTAGGCACCCATCTAACCATCACTTCAGTCAGTGCACAGAATTTTTTTTACCCCCAAAGTTCCCTGATGCCCTAAACCTGTCCACAAAGCCCCTCACTGTTTAGATTTCTGTTACCTCAAATTTGTTCTCCCTGATAAAAATCACATGGTATATGTGAATGAGAAAACTATTTTAAATGAAACTTTCAGACCTCATTTATGAAAACAAACTAATTTAGTGGTGATTGAATTAGTTATCTGCAAATTTGCTATTTGAAAGATTATACCAGTGTGTTGGAAATGCTCTAATTCTGGTATATGTTGACACTTTGACCAGTTACAGTATTTCAAAGCCACATACGTGTAGGGGGTTGTAATAATTGTAATTTGTGATTACTTTTCAGCGGATGATATATTTGAGAGCATAGGCGATCGGGAACTAAGACAAGTCTTTGAAGGACAGAATCGTATTCATCTTGAAATCAAGCAGCTGAATCGACAGTTGGATATGATCCTTGAGGAACAGAGGAGATATGTCTCTTCCCTGACAGAGGAGATCTCCAAGAGAGGAGCAGGGAGCCCAGGGCAGCCTGGGCAGGTGAGCTTTCAAACACTCAAGTGCACCTTAGCTTCAGCTGTGAGGATTTGAAAGGAAAAGCTGCTGTGCTCTGTGCACAGGCAGAGTACTGAGTTGGCCACTCTTCCTGTTTTCCTACAGATCTCTCAACAGGAACTGGATACTGTTGTGAAAACCCAGCATGAGATTCTGAGACAAGTCAATGAAATGAAGTAAGTATATCAAAGTCGTGTCTCACTGCTCTGTGATACATTGTCCTAAGAAACTGCACATGCTCTGCCCTCTACCATGTGCTTCACAAGGGTAAGCAGCACATCCTGGTTCAGTTTAGGAACAGAGGATATGTATGCAGGAGTTTGTTAACATCTAAACTTTAAAAATCACTTTAAACCGAAAAAAAACGTGAGTATCTTTAAAAACAAAGAGGTTTGTTGTAGTTACTTGAAACCAGATATGGCTTTTATTTAGAAAATATAAAAAGAATGTGGCGTGCTATCTATCAACTCCATGAGACATCCTGGGGGCACAGGGACATTGACCGAGCAGAACTGGACAACAAGCAGACTTGCTGCAGGAACTTTTTGACGTCATGACTTGTATAGGGAATGTCTATGATGATGTCTTTTTCATTCCCATCTTCAACCCTAAACGGGACAGAGTTGAGTAGAGAGGAGCTACTGTGTCATTGGAATGTCGGATGATGAATTTCTAATGAGATGGTTCACTTACACAGGTGGTTACCATCTCAGTGTCTGGTGCACAGAAGACAAGCCCAGCATGGCACGTTTCCTAAGCTGCTGCTTTAGCATTCCCTCCTAGTACAGCCCTTGACAAATGAGAGTGTCAGGGTGAGCAGTCGGAAATGAGGCAGGACTAGGTTAAACAAGACAGACAGATGGAAGGCACTCAGCTTACAACTGAAAGCTTGTATTTTTTCAATTTTTCTTCTTAGCATTTAAGAAACATCTTTATTGTTAATTCATGATTGCAAGTGAATAGCTAACCTATTCAGATAGTTTAAATGAATAGATTTCTTTTAGAAATAGACTGGATTGTGTAACACAGTATTTTATTTATTTTATTCTTTTATGTTAACCTAATTTTACACTTTAGAAAGCTATAAAAACAGTATGTTAAATTTCCATATACCTTTCACCCATCCTTTCCTACTGTTGACATCTTACATAACCACAGTATAATTGTGAGAACCAGGAAATTAATATTCATACTATATGATCAACTAAACAGATACCCTGTGTAGACCCATTCCTGGGGGAAGGGTACATATTTCAGTGTGTGTGTGTCACACACACACACACACACACACACACACATTCTTAGGAATAATACTCCTTTCTGGCCTACCTCATTTCTGCCCCACCTCCATTGGCCTAGGGATAGAGCATTGAAGCTAGGGCTTGCTAGGCCAGCACTGTACCATGGAGCTACGCTCTCAGCCTCTCCGTTTCTCTTCAACCCTTTCTACTGCCCTCATTGGCAAGTAGTTCCGTTATATGGTTTTGCTTACTGTATTTCTGCACAAGTGTGTTTTTTCTACCTTCTTTCTTGCATAAGGGGACCATATTCTAAGTACTGTTGTGTTTTGCCTATTTCACTTCGTAGAGGTAATAGCACAACCTAAGATGCAGATGGTGGTTAGGAAACCTAGGCCTTAGGCTGTATTGTCCATGAAAGCACTTCCTGCTGATACTTAGCAATCCTCACACACACACTCTGGCTTAGCAGTGGCGAACACATGTCATCTGTGTGACAAATTAATGCAAAAATTGAGCCCAATATTCTAAATTCGTCTTTTAGAGCTTTTTTTTTCCCCCCTCAGATCTAAGCTTCAGAAAAAATGTGGAGAGGAAATAACATGCCTTTTCTTGGAAGGGTAGTCTATGTCTTTATGATTTTCATATTCTTAGGAAGTCATGGAAAAATTTTAGCAAATCTTTAAAAGCATGCTTTTCAACCCCTCTTGCTATAGAACTTAATCTAGCCTACCGTTAACTCCTGTTCTGTGGTCCCTCTACTTCCATTCAGTTTTCTTCGCTTGTTGCTTTTCCTTCCATCATCTCTTAGGTGCTTGTTCCTAGGGTACTGTCCAGCCCTCCTCTCATTTGACCTGCTCCCTTAACTAAAGATAATTCCGCCTTCACAGATTTCCTCCCTGAACTCAGCACTTGGTGACCAGCCGAGCACAGTGTGCCTTTCTCTGCAGATTCTAGTTGTGCTTCTAAGACATTGCTCTCCTGCCAGGCTATTGTTCTCAGCAAGGCAGGAGGGATCTTGTTCTCATATAGTTTATTTCCCTAAACATTGCCTGGCTGGTAACATGTACCAAATGAATGTTAGCAGAATCACAGGCAAATGAATGATTGAATAGGAATATATTAAGGGATCTAATCTTTGTGTATTAAAAAACCATTTCTGCATAAGCAGGTTCATGCTGCTGAGAGGCAAATGTTGTTAAATGCACATTTATGAGGAAGTTATACTATCTGGGTTAGTCTTGTAAGTGTTCTAGGTGTATTAAAATGTAATCCTTAATGGACATTTAATAAGAAAGTTTAGACACACATGCCATTAAAAGAAATTTTAATCATTATACGGCATGGATTGAGACAGCACAAGATATTTGAAGTTAAAGTGCTCATTGCTTATAGAAGTCAAATATAATTCTTTCTGTTTAACAGTCCATGTAACGTAGCTGTTGTTTCTGTTACTCTAGCTCTTTTTATACTAAATTTTGCACAAAGGAAGTAAGTTAAATAACTTTCTTTTGATCAATCCAAATTGAGCCATAATTATTGAAGTCATTGATAGAAAGTCAGAAACATCAATTCTGTTCTCTTGGAACCCGGGTTAATCCTTGTGTGCCAATTCAGAGTCAAAATCTTGGAGCAGGAGGGTTTGGTAGGAAAAGATTCCAGGGAAGGAAGATATTAAGGAAGGATGCACAGGAGGGAAAGTACATGTCTTAAAAGAGCATCACAATGACAGAAGCATACACATAAAGGTTATTTTCAGGGAATGGCAAGTGCAAGGACAGATGAAAGAGAACAGTAGGAGATAAAGTCAGAAAGATAATCAGCAAAGAGTCACAAAAATCACAGGCTTGATGATAACGCCTATGTTAATGTTAGTCATATGAACTGTTTGCTGTCAATAGAACTTTTAAAATACTACTACTAGATGAAAATAACTTGATTTGCTTTTCAGGAATATTGAAATTCATATTCATCCCTTTATTAATAAGTAGATCTCTTATATTTCTTTCATTATGAAAGCATTTGTTATTTCTTACTGTCATGCTTTTAGACACATATCCGAAGGGCCTGTTCAGTGGTAGAGCTCTTTATTTTACACTTGAACAGTGAAATCACATCTTGCATGGAGAGTGTATCCTAAAATCAGTGTGTAAGACAATGTTTTATAGCATCAGAATTATCCTTCAAAAAGATACCAAATTGGAGACACATTCCTCAGGATACAAAACAACCTGCTTTTTTCAGACCTGGAGCAGATGGTTCTTCTTTGGTTGGCTTCCAGTTGAAGCCTAAGTTTGTCTGTGAGGCCTCTGAAAAGCACAGGGAGTAAGAGATACACTTACAACTTACTTGTCATTCCCAAGACCACTTTGATTCTATGATATACAGGTATTCAGAGAAATAAATGCTGCTGTGCTTATGGTCATGGTTTCTTACAAGAAAAAGAGAAGAATACAAAATAAAATTAGCAGGGAGGGGTTGTACATAGGATAGAGTCATAGAGAACCCAAACACAGGCTCCCAGTGGTCTCACAGTACAGACAACCCCCAACATAGGATGGTTGAACTTAACAATTTGTTGGAATTTACCATGATTTGAAAGTAGTAAGTCAAGGATCATTTGTAAGTCTCTGAACAACAAATATGACAACACATGTAAAGTGCTGTCAGACAGAGAAGCCCACCCAAACCTTGGTGTCTAGAATTTTTATTAGAGTTCAGTCACACAGGTGGGGAGGACCCATGTGGCTAACCTTCAGTACTCAGTTTCTAGTCCTTCTCAAGGTCATCTCCTAAGAGATGGGTCATCATCTCAGGGGCCAGTCCTGAAAACTTGTGGAGTGCAGAGGGTTTCGATAGCCCAGGCCTGCTGAGTAATCCATTAACATGTGTCTTAGCTAATTTTTCTGTTGCTATGATAACACCACTCTGACCAAAAACAACTTAGGGAGGAAAGGGCTCATTTTGTATCACATTTCCAGATATAGTTCATGACTGAGGCAAGTCAGGGCAGGAACTGAAGCAGAGACCACAGGAACACTGCTTACTGACTTGCTTCCCCAGGCTTGCTTAACTGTCTTTCTTATGCAGCCCAGGCTCACTAGTCTAGGGATGGGGCCACTCACAGTCATCTGGGCCCTCCAAAAATCATTCAGCAATCAAGAAAATACCCCCCCAACCAGGCCCACAGGCCACTCTGATGGAGGGAATTCCTGAATTCCTCAATTGAGATTCCCTCTTCCTAGGTGTGTCAAGTTGACAGCCAAGATTAGCATCACACTACACCACACTGAACAGGTGGCAAAATTCCTTTTTTTTTTTAATTCTCAAAGACCATTTTTTTCTTTTTTCATTGAATATTTGTGAATTTCATACAAAATATATTGATTGTATTTAGATCCCCTTCCCTATCCTCACCTCCCTTACTGCCTACTTCCCAATTTCATGTTCTCTCTCTCTCTCTCTCTCTCTCTCTCTCTCTCTCTCTCTCTCTCTCTCTCTCCACACACACACACACACACACACACACAGAGAAAGAGAGGCAAATTTGTATCCTTAAGTGTTCTTTGGTATGAATCCATCCACTAGAGCCTGATTCCTTAAAAGACTGATTCTCCTTCCCAGCAGCCACTGGTTTCCAGTAGTTCTCAGGTAGGGTTAGTGTTTCTTACCCACTTCCCCACATCTATGGTGGGATTTTTTTTCTGGCCTACATAGCTTTGTAGTTTTGAGGTGCATAAACACAAAGTGGTCTGTAGTTTTTAAATGTTGGCATTAATGAGATCCAGATTAAATAGAAATATACTTAACGTATAATCATAGCATCCTCTAATAAGCAAATTATTGTCATGTTGAAATAGTACGAGTATTAATACAAGGAGATGCGTAAATATACTTGGTTGCTTTCTCATAACAATCTGGTATGTGAAGTAGCTGTTGATCATTGCTGTGGTTAAGCAGGTACTGTTTATATATTGCTATGGATACCTTTACATCAGAAAGACTTAAGCCAACATTGCCATGTATTAACCACAGAAAAATGAGGTACATTATAAAACTGTGTTCAGATTCTTAGGCAAATTCTCACGTTATGTCATGTGTTACAGTGGGCTATTTGGAAGAATAGAGAAAAATGTCAGGAGCTTCAAGTGTATGGTAAAATGAGTAGAGAGAGGTATCTGCTGAATTACTAATTACTATTCACCTATCTTTATTAATCTTTGACAATCATTTGGGGTCATGATTCCAGTAGTAATGCACCGAGTTGCAACCTTGGTCTTGCATGAATAAATAATTTAAGGGCAATCCCTTACACGACTGCATCTAGAAGTCATGAAGCCCAAAACCCAAAACCAGGTTTATATCTGTTGCCTAGGAACATCCCAGAGTCACTTCCACTGCCCGGTACACGTTTTTTCCATTGATTCCCCAGTAGAACTATTTTTAAAGACACCAGACACCTGGATTACAAGATAAAGAAACCAAGCTTGAACTGAGAAGAAAGTTTCTTCCATGGCAGTTAGCCTTTATGGTGCCAGAAAGAGCATGCAGACTGTTGGAGGAGAAAGAGGCACTAAAGATCTAAACTTGACTAACTACAGTACCAGCCTGCCTGGCAAGATGAACCAAACTGTAATAGTGGCATAGACATGGTGGTGGTAACCAGCTGGTTTGACATGAATCATGCTACACAGAAGGGAATGCATTCCTGGTACTGTAAAGACTGATCAGAAGCCAATGGATCGGAAGTAATAGGCCCTAGGGAAGAACCTACTAATACTGTTTTGTTAAACTGACACAGCATTAAACTATCTTCTAGTTATTTTCGTTTATGCCCGTAGACAAATGATGCTCTTAAAGAAGCCTCTCTTTGCAGTGGAAGCGGGTAACTGGAGAGTCACATGACTGCTCAGTGTTGTGAAAAAAAAAGGGAAAGTTTAGTGCTCAACCATAAATAAGACATTTATACCACTCCTTATAAGACACAGAAAACATTCTGAAAGAGGGCCTAGAAAGAATGTGAGAGTCAGAAGAACTATAGAATCACATACACTAAGCATAATCCAGCCATTACAATTATGAACACGGTACAACTGTGCTTGCTTACACCTAGCTTGCCCCAAAATGGGCCTGCCAACAGCCAACTGAATTGTTGAGTGGTTCAAGTACCCTGAAAACCATTATTCAACTTGAGACCACTGATAGATTCCCGGGAAATGGAGACAAGACTCATAGCTATCTGTTGAGAAACCACTGGTGAGGCCTCTAGGCTCCAATGGGGATTTCCAGACTTATCATCAAAAGGATAGCCATCATTAAACTCATTGGGTCTTAAAACAGAATAAAAAAATAAAAACATGAATATGGGAAAAGGGCCTGTAGCTTTAGGGAGAAAAGGGAGTTGACAGAAAAACAGACCAAGAACTTTGGACACCTTCCATCAGGCCCCCAGGAGCTGGAACTGCTTTAGGTAAAGAACTGAAGGGAATGCTTCTGTCCTGTTCAGCTCTGCACCCTACTCACTATTAAACAGTTCCAGGAAGTCTAGCCTTCTGCCTTTAGCTCCTAATGAATTAGGGAGAAATGTCTCTTGGAATTTGAGGCACACAAACAGAAAATGGTTTAATAACCTGGGACTCTACTTTGGGGTATGCATATACCTCACTCTTCTAAATACATTTTGCCCCATAGCTTATGTCCTTGCACACACCAACCACTCTGAACCACACGCTTCTGTCTACTTCAGACCACACATGCACACCTCTTCCTAAACGATAAGAAACTTCTCTTCTTGACAAACATCAAACTTGGTATATATGGATATATATAAATATATATAATTGGATTTTTGTGAATCTCATATAATACATTTTGATCATACTTAGACCCCTCCCCTGTCTGTACCTCCTCACAGCCCCTCCCCCTACCAGATTTCATGCATTCTGTCACATGTGTTAAGGCTTATTGAGCCAAGTTTGTATCCCCAAATATCCCTCAATGTGAGTCCATCCATTGGAGCCTGGTCAACCTATCTAGTGTCACTCGCTTAAAGAAAACCAACTCTCCTCTCCCAGTAGCCATTGATTGGGGCTTCTTTCCCATTTCCCCACTTCTATGCTGTGTTTTTGTCTGGCTTGAGCTTGCATGGGTCTTGTGCATGCTGTCACCATTGCTATAAGTTCACATGAGCAACTTTTCAGCCACTTGGAAATCTCTGTTTCCTTGTGATCATCTACCATCCCTGGCTCTTACAGTCTTCCTGCCCCCTCTTCTGTGATGGTCCCTTGGCCCTGGGTGGCAGACATTTAATATAGATGTCTTACCCAGGTCAGACATTCCACAGTCTCTTTATTTTCTGCACTTTGAACAGTTGTGGCTTTCCGAGTTAATTACCATCTGTTACATGAGGAAGCTTCACTGGTGAGAGTTGAGAGATTCATTAATAATCTTTCTGCCACCTGTTCTGCTATAGTCCATGAACCTTAAGTGTAGAGGATCACTGTTAATGTGTCACTTAGGGCTGGTCATCTCACAGACACTTATTCTCTATGTTTGACCAGTTGTGGAACTCTGTAATAGTTTCCATCTGTTGAAAAAGAAGCTTTTTTGATGAGTGGTGAGAAGTACCCTTGCCTATAAATATAAATCTACATATTTAGCATACAGTAAGAAATTACATTGGTCTAGGTATGTGACAGATATAGGATTTTCTCTAGGATTTATAACCTCTCCAGCCATGTGTATTTGACTGTTTACAGTACCACACGAGTTCCCTCCCATTGAGTGGGCTTTAAGTCCTAATTAGATAGGTGTTGATTATTCCCCAAATAAAAGTGCCACAACTACACCAATGAAGATAATTTGCTGGGCCAGTCATTATTGTGTTTATTGGTCTTTACAGCTGAGGAGGACCATTGATTTGCTTTTTCCCTTGGCAGCTTGCATAGTAATCTTTGATACTACAAAAGCTAGTCTTCAAGGGGGAGGCTTCCAGGTCAGTTTCAGTTCGATTGTTCCAAGTCCTAGTTCTGAAATATGTCCTGTCTTCAGCAATAGGGTCTTACCTTCAAGTTCTGGGAGGAAATCAAAGGCTGTGGCAATAGCCTGTGTTATTTTGAGAGTCTCTTGGACTACCCTGAACAACAACTTGAAGGGAGGTTTCTCCTGCCTGGCATTGTTTTTTGTTATATAGCCTTCAGCTAAATACGTGCACTTGTGTATAATGCAGGCTTTTGAACTAATACATTTCTCTCTGGTTTTCCTTACAACTTCATTAAGCATCAATTATGTTGTAGTCTTCAGTTGCAGTATTGGTTTGAACACAGATTATTTAGTACTATTCTTCACTAGTAAAATGCAATGATAGAATGGTAAGTGGCCGTTTTATAAAATGTTTTCAAATTTTGAAAACCTTTTTCTTTTTATAAGTGATGATAGGAATTGAATGTAGAGCCTTTTGTGTGCTAGGTACCTCCCTACTGCTGAGCTATATTCCCAGCCCTTTTTACCTTATTTTGAGCTACCATCTCACAAAATTGCCCAGGTTGGCTTTGAATTCACTTTGTGTCCCAAGTAGGCCTGGAGCTTATGATCCTCCTGCCTGTGCCTCCCAAGAAACTAGCAGTATAGGCTTGCATCAAGTCCACTTTCTTTCTTTGAAATACGTAGTTCTTTACCTTCCCGTCCCCTCCCCTTGTCTCCCATCTGCTTCATTTCAGACAAAGTCTCGCTTTGTAGCCCAAACTGGGTTTGAACTCTGTCCTCTGGCCTTAGCCTCCTAAGTACAGAGATTACTGGTATAAGATACCACACCCATCATCTGGTTTCTTTGGGGTTTTTTTAATTTTGTTTGGCCTTTTTTTTTTTTTTAAATGGTATGCTGAACTTAGGTGCAACCATTTGAAATTTATGACTGGAAAAAAAAAATCCTTAAGATTTTTGAAGGGATTTTCTATTTCAGGAACTCCATGAGTGAAACTGTCAGAATGGTCAGTGGCATACAACACCCTGGCTCTGCAGGAGTCTATGAGACAACTCAGCACTTCATGGACATCAAGGAGCACCTGCACGTAGTAAAGAGGGACATAGATAGCTTGGTGCAGCGCAACATGGTAACTCTTTTTCCTTGTGTAATTATCAGGTCTCAAATTAGTGCTGATGCTCATTTCTAATTTCAAGGTAGAATTGTTCCATATGTTCTGAAGCCTTTGTATTTGGGTTTCCTAGTTGTTTAAGGTAGAAGAGTATTTCTATAGTAGTTAGGTTTAATGTGTAGGAAATATATTGCCAGATAATGGAAATAATTGAATTCCAATTTAATAGCTTCTCTAAACTGTGGGCTTTGGCATATATTAACCCAAGGTTCTGATCCTTGGGTTCTGACCCTTCTTGCTATTTGGTTAACTTTATTTACCATCAGCTGAGTTTTATAGAGTAGATGAGAGTAAATCAGATCAGATTGGATTGTTTCACTCTGCCAGTTAGTTGCCTTGTGCAAGACATATGTGAAGCATGGTTGGTCCACATTTCTTGATCAGACTTACAGGAAGCAGAGGCCTCAGCCCTTTACGTTTTATATGGGGCTTGTTTTTAAATTTTTTTACTTGTTCATTTACGGTTTTGGATTTTTTTTTACCTGGGGTCCCTCTGTAGCCCCAGCTGGCCTGGAACTCATTTTGTAGACCAGGTTGGCCCTGATCTCACAGAGCTCCACCTGCCTCTGCCTCTCAAGTGTTGAGACTAAATGCATGTGCCACCATGCCCAGCTTAAAGCCTTTTTTAAAACATTTAATATTCTTTAGGAAATTTGTTAGATTAACATTAGTAATAAGGACAATCATAACAACTTTCTCAAGGGAATCAGTACTAGAGGGTTAAAAAACTTGTCTTCAACTTCTAATCTTGTTTCCATTATATTTGACACTGCTTTTCTTATATGCCTTGGCTATTTTTTTTTTTCAAATTTCCCTAAGTTGTATTATTATTGCCCATGGCTTCTCATCCAAAACAGTCTCAGTTCCATGTGAAGATATTCTCCCCTGTGTTGTAATGGACATTGTGGTGCTGTGTGTGCTACCTGTGTGCTGAAAACTGCCTGGTTGATGCAACCATATTGAAAGCAACTAATCTGGGCATCTTGATAAAATCTTTATTCCTGATATTTAATTAGCTCCCTAAAATTTTTTTAGCCTATTTTATGGAGATAGTTTTCAGAACACCACAGTCAGGTTTAATGCCCCTGAGATTGCAAAGAATGAAGACCTGGGGGCGGAAGCATTGTATTTGTCAAGTTGTTTGTTGGTAGGGTAATCATGTAATTTATTGTATGAACTAGAATAGTTTTGATAGTGAAGTCTGCGCCTTTAGTAATTACACCAGTACAGCAATTATGAACGGGTAGTGTTGAGGACAGTGATGGGGTGGTGGCCCCAGTCTTCAGAAACTTCAAGGGCACTACCATCATCATTTGTAATGAAATTGGGAGCCAGACAGCACTAAGACCAGGGCTGAATAGCCCCAAGTTAGAACCCTTCCCATATTAACTGCCTCCACTAAAAAAAATAATAATAATAAAGTTTAAAAAGGAAAGGAGCCAGGCGTGGTAACGCACGCCTTTAATGCCAGCACTTGGGAGGCAGAGGCAGGTGGATCTTTGTGAGTTCGAGGCCAGCGTGGTCTACATAATGAGTTCCAGGACAGCTGGGGCTACAAGAGACCCGGTCTCAAAAAAGACAAAAAAAGAAAAGGAGACATTAAATGAAGAAGATATTTAGGGGAATGTGCAAATTAAAACACTTGTTTATGTAGCAGATCGTGAGTTTTATAAATTGCACATTTCTGTCATTTTAGACCATTAATTTGACTAATTGTAATACAAATTATTTTCCTTGTAGCCATCCAATGAAAAACCAAAATGCCCAGAACTACCACCATTTCCATCATGTTTATCCACGATCCACTTTGTCATATTTGTAGTGGTACAGACAGTGTTGTTCATTGGCTATATCATGTACAGGTAAGTTCTTGATAAAATCTGACCCGACCTTAAGTTAACTTCACTAAATTATATAACTAAATGCAGAGCAAACTTGATTGCTAGGCTGTCTCACAAGAGGGTGCATGTTTAGAATTTATCTCACTATATTTTCTACTTCAAAAAGCATTGATATTTTACTTTAAGCAACCTTATTTCTTTCCAAAGTTAAGTATATAGAGTATCAGTCAGTTTTTCTTTTCTGGTGTTTTATTTTTTAGGACACAGCAAGAAGCAGCTGCCAAAAAATTCTTTTGACCATCATTTCCATATATGTACGTCATGTATGTATGTACAAAACGTTGTCTTTTTGAGGGAATTTAGTATTTAAATTGCTTCTTAGTCTTAAGTTATTAAATTTTGTATAAAACAACTGTTTCAAACATTGGTTTTTCAGTAAAAATAAACCTTAAAGACAGCCACATGTAAGTTTGTTCATAGTACATACATGTGTTTAAATCTTAGTGAGTTTCAGGTAGGCAGGATGCAGCCACTGAACAGAATGTTGACAAGTCAAGGGGTAAAGAAATAGGGGTACCCCTGGATCTATCCTCTAGGTCTCTTGTATTGGGGGCTTCTTTGTCACATAAACATACCTTTACTCTTCCAGAATATGAGGTCTAACAGGAGCATCCCATCATTTGTGTTTTGTAGCCAAAACAATGTTTAGAAGTGAAACTTTGCTAATCTTAAGAGAGGGTTCTGCAGTCTTCAGTCCTAACAGAGTTCTCTCTGGGATCACTTTTTTTTTTCAGAAGCATCCCAAATTGGGGGGCGGGGGGGACCTACAAGCTACAAGCAAACAAACAAACCTTTATTTTAATACTTTAAAATTAAAAAACAATCATAACCTTCCAATTCTGATTCCACTACTCTTTGTGGCCTGAGGATTTGCATTAGCCCCTCTCCTTGCCTCCCTGATTCCCCTTGGAACTGAGCATCTAAGGACAAGGAGCTGGCCACTGTCAAAGGTGACTGTCCCAGGTTCCCTCTGCCAGCCACTCTGGTTTTCCCTGGGAGAAGGCAGAAGGAGAGCACCCAGGAGAGGCACCTGTATTACAGCGACAGGAGCCTCACGAATGAGTGAGGGGCTCTGGAGAATCTGGGCAGTGGGATCAATACTTTGTCTGAGAGCTTCAACTGGAGTTACAAGGCTTCAGAACAGTTAGTGAATGTTTTTCCCCTCTGATTATCAATTCTGTATTTCACTTTTAAAGTGAAATTTTGGTAGAAAACTAAACTGCTTTTTGTCTTAAAAATAATTAAGGTAAAATAATTCCAGTGGCAGTGACTTTAATGGGTATTTGCCTGGTAATGTCTTCATTTCATGGGGCCCATAGTCTTGAATAGCTTCATTCCAACCATGTCAGATCAGTATTTCAAAGATAATTTTTATGCTTTCAATTTAAGGAATTTCTCCCATTTTGTCCAATATGTTATTCGGCTCCAGTTGCATGCTCTGAAGATGCTCTAAATTCACAAAACCACCTCTACATCCTGGTTTGTATCACTCTGTGTAACCCAAGGTCTGTGACAACTTGCAAACTCTCAGTCAAGGAGGCTGGCACAGAAGCAGTTCTAAGAGATTTTAAATTTTAAAGTAAATACTTAGGATCTCTCCTTTAAATCCAGAAATCAGCATGCTGTGAGGCAGCCTGTTGGTGAACTTAACCAGGAAGATTTGCTCGTCTTTGTCTTTATACAGTGTCTTAGAGAAGCCACCTGGGAATGACATTTAAAGTGCAGGTTTCATTTTTGTCTTCACAGCTGGTATAGACTTGCTGGCTTCAAAATATTTTATCTGAAGTGATGGTCCCTTGTTTGCCATAAGATCCAGAACAGTACTGTTTTGTAAGAATTATTATTGAATTGTTCTAAACCTTCGTAAGTTTTCTCTCAAATGTCATTTGCAGCTGGGGCTAACAACCTAGAGTCTGTAGAAAGACTCTTACGAAGAACCTCTACATGATGGCACTGCCTGAGTGGTACTGTGCGCGCGACTCACGTGGCTTTTCACACCGGCATTTATCCTAGAATGCTGAAAGACAGTGTGCTCACAGTGACTCTCCACCTCACCCTGCAGCATAGACAGTGCTTCTCACATTCTCCTTTGTAGAGTTAACGTTTTGAAACTCAGGTTCCAGAAACATCATCTTACAGAATTTATTCATATTCCATGAAAAAAAAAAAAAAAAAAACAATAAAACCCTTCAGAAGAATGTTTTCAGTTGTAGACTATGAAACTGAGGAAATCCTCTTGCAGTGAAAGGCTGCCAGTGTGACAAAGTCCATGGTCACATGTGCCTGAACAATAAAGGAATCTCTGATCAGGCTCCAATCCAAGGAGAATGGCTTCATCCTTCCTAAAGCAGTTGCAGAAGGCTGTTGTCAGAGAGCACAAGCAGAACCTCTTTTCTTTTTACCTGTTAATTAAAAATCATTTGGCAAAGTAGTTCATAGGCTATGGGATATCTCTTTATTCTTTGAATCTTGTTTTTCTCAAAATCATTAATTCTTAGTGACTTATTTTTGAACAAAAGTGTTTGCTCTGTTGAAAAAAAAAAATCACTGCCAGAATTCTTCCATTTCTGTACTATTTTGTCTAACAAATAATTCACTTCTCACACCAGCAAGTATTTTCCAGGTGCCTTGAATTAAAACAAAATTTATTTTAACTTTTTAATGTAAGTCATTATTTATTATGGCACTTTTAAAAGAAAAATGCAATTATATAATTGCTGATATGCATATTTAATATGCTATTTGTGTTCTGATTGTTTTAATGTTTTATTTAGCTTAAAACTTCACCACAAATTCACAAACAATAACCAGTGTTTGTCATGTTTGAAGGTTATCAATGTTTCTCAGTCCAGGACCATCCAGTTTATGAAATGCTTATTAAGAATCAATTCCAAGGCCCCATTCCAGGCCATCTGCATCAGATCTCAGGAGGGAGCTTCACACTATCAGAGTTCAATAAGCACTGCTGATTCTTAGCACACTGATGACTAAGGAGTGAAAAAAAAAGTATTTAATGGGTATTTTGTTGACTTAAAGTGAACTGAGAACACATTTTCACTATCACTGAAATTGACAGCAGTGCTCTGGTTCTTTTGTACTTAACATTTCCTTAATGTTCATTTTGCTGAAACTCTTTACTGACTAGCAGCTACAGACTCAATCCAGCTTGTTACCTGCATCTCTTGGTACTTTAGTGATGGCTGTGAAACTTCAGTTCATGGTGAAACCCTGAAAGCTCCCAGGAAAAACCTGCCTTGGAATCTTGTTGCTTTGCCACATTTTATCTCAAACAGCCGCACTTGATAACTGGGGAAACAGAAAAAACAGAAATTACTTGAATAAAGCCTTGCTGCTTTGCAGAAAATTGATCTCTGTAAAGAAAGTAAATAAGAGTTGTGACTCTGAAGATGTGATTATCTCACCCTGTCCATATGCTTCCTGAAGGAAGACAGTGAACAAATTGTTACATTGGGAAACTTTTTATTAATAAAATCTAGGGTAAGATCAGCTCTTGCAGCTTTTAAATCTGTATGTTACCTGTTTAACATTTCTTTAATGATATTAAAGTTTAAAAAGATTGTCTATCCACCATCAATTTCAGTTGGATAACATTTTGTCAAGTTTTTTTTTTTTTCTGATTGTTACTTTGATGCTAGCTAGAATTCAGGAAATGTCAATGACCTTATTCAAATAAAGAAATATTTTAGTAAATTTGCTTTTTCCTTCATTGTGTTGGAGCATGTGTAGCTATTTATTGTCCAAATAGGCCTTGTTTTGTGATTTTATTTCATTTATCTGTGCTCTGTGCCCTACTGTCCTGGTTTCTTTTCCAGTAGCTGTGTTAAAATGCCTTGACAAAGCACCTTGAAGAGTTTATTCTACTTACAATTCTAGGCTCCAGTCAGGAAGTCAAAACAGAGACTTGGAGCAGCTAGTCACATCCACAGTGAGGAGCAGAGAGAAAATAAATGCATGTGTGCTTGCTTGCTGTGCTCAGCATCCTTTCTACACTCGAGACAGTATAGGACCTGAGCCACAGTATGTGGATCTTCCCACCTCAGATAACAAAATCTCCCCAGACATGCCCACAGGCCAAACTAATCCAGACAATCCTTCATTGAGACTCTCTTCCCAAATAATTCTAGAGTATCAAGTTGACAATTAACCATCACACCTGCCCTGGGTAGCCTGCCCCTGTGAGTCCACTTGTGGAAAGACAACAGGGAAAGTAGAAATGGAATGGATAAATGTTTACCCTTGCTAGTAATGAAAAGTACATTTTAGTTAAAACAGTATTTGATGTTCACCTTTAAAAACCAAATGCTAAAGGCTAGGAATGTAACTCACTGGTGGAACCCTTGCCTAGCATGTATGAAGACCTGGGTTCAATCCTCAGTACTATAGAAAGTAAATAATCAAATGCTGGCAAAAATATAGTTAGTTAAGCTGGAATTTTCAGTCATTATCTAGCAGCAACTTCAAAAGTCTTATTAAACAACAATGGTAGAACATTACTATGTAGCACTGGGGAGGCTGAGGGAAAAGGTAGCCTGAGGCAGAGAGGTCATGATTTGGAACTAGCCTGTGCTACATAGACCTTTTCTCAAAAGTTTTTTAAAAATATGTTTTTAAAATTTTTTTCTTGACAAGTACTATATAATTGGTTGAGCTTTGGAGTCAGACAAGTCTCACATGCATCTTGGCTATCCATTATTAGAGGTGACATTGACATTTAGTGTCATGTCTCACATGGTTGTTAAAACCATAAAAAGTATAGGACTTAATGCAGTTCCTGTTCCTCAGGATGGCTATATATATATATAATTTCTTGTTGCTGTGATAAAATACCCTGACCCACAGCAACTTGTAGAAGAATTTATTTTGGCCCATGGCTCCAAAGGAAGAATCCATGATGGTGGGGAGGGAGGCATGGCAGCAGACAACTGGAGCAGGCAGCTGAGCGATCACATCTGTAATCTGCACCAGGAAACAGCATGAACTGGAAGGGAGGCAAGGCTGTAAACTTAAGGCCTGCCCTCAGTGACATCCTTCCTCCAGCAAAGCTCCACCTCCTAAAGATTCCATAACCTCCCAAACAGTGTCTGAAACTTTAGTTTCATAGGACTTTAGGGGCTCCAGCTCTGCTGCGTGCCCCATCTCTCCAGAGATGGTTCCACTCCCTGTACGCAGTTTTGCTTAGCAAGTGTCTCAGCTCTGGCATCTTCAACATCTTGGGGTCTCTACCACAACCTAAGCTCCGCTTTCACAGCTTTACATGGTGGCCTCACATAGCTTCCTTGCAGGGACTCCCCTACTACATGTTGCCTGGCCTCAGCAGCTCTCTGCAACTGCAGAGGAAGAATCCATAACCCTCTCACTCTTGTAGTTTTCATGCTTCCAAAGCCAGTACCACATAGCTGACATGGCCAAAATCAGCTGCCAGTGTGGGGTGGATGTGCTATAAACTCCAAAGTCTGTACCAGTGACATACTTCCTCCAGCAACACCCCACTTCCTACAGGTTCCATAACCTCCCCAAACAGTACCACCAACTGGGGACCAAGAGTTCAAATACATGTGAGTATGGAGAACATTTTTCCATTCTAACCACCGCACTATGTTAATGGATGCCTAACAAATACTAAAAAGGGAACATAAATACATATTTTAAAACAAATGGATTTGAAAATAATCAAAAATCCTAATTGGGGAGCTTCTAGGGTATAGGAGTAACAGAAACTAGACTATATAGGCCTTCCATACTGATGATTTTGTTCATTTGAAGTGTTAAAAGACATTGGCCTAGGGTTAGAATCCCCAGAAGACTGGGGACTTGAAGTAAACTGGGACCTTGGAACAAGGGCTGTGCTTTAATGGTAAAACACTTGTCTAACATGCATGAGATCCTGGGTTCAGTCCCCAGTATTGATGGGGAACATAGTAGGACCCTGGGAAGCTCCTTCAGTGGAAGGAAGCAAACAGGCCCTCTTACCCACATCCCACATCTTGATATTAGCAAGTGCCTCTCCCTGGGGTTCTGAGCAGGAGAAAAATCTGTAAGAAACTGAAGCTCCAGGCTTAATGCCTTATACTATAACAGCACCCAAACAATCTGCACAGTGTGGAATTTTCCAAGTCAGAAACTAAGTTACTTCTGATCTGGTGAAATCCAGGAGCAGACAACAAAAGCTCTCTGTGGTAATAATTCCACAACAAAAGTCCTTCAGAGAATCACAGAGCATCCTATCCAAACTGAAATGCACTCTAAAAATTACATGTTAAATAAGAAAAATGTGAAAGAATGACAGTAGACTTAGAAAATAGAAAACTTGGACCCTCATTCTGGAAGAACAGAACAGTGACAAAGACAACTAATGTACCCTTTAAATAACTCAGACAAGGTTTCTAAAAGACAAGAGAACATTAGGAAGGAACTCTAAAAAGTAAAACAGCTGGAGTTCCAAAGAACCATCTAAGCATACATGGGAGGGATTAAATTTGGACCTCACATGGGACACCAAGAAAGTGAAAAAAACTACAGAGAAGGCAACCACCAGATTAAGATGGTGGAAATGTGATAAACAGGCTGTCAGTGCAGAGATACAGCATCATCCACAAGGGTTCCAGAAAGAAAGCAGAGGTTTGTGGAAGAACTGTTCATACGTGGAATAGCTGAAAATTTTCTAGAATTTGTACTCATGAAAGGGGTGGGAATCTGAAATAGGAGGAACTCCCCAGGGACGATGTTGTCCACGCCAAGTCCTGAAGGCCTTGATTAATCATGCAAATAAGGGGAGCTGCCAAAGAGCCAACCCCAAGCAGACAAGGTGACTTAAACAAATGCTGGAGTTGAGGAACAGTGTTTGTATGAGAACCTGTAAGCGATTGTTATGTTGGGAGAATAAAAGGAAGATAATAGTTGGACCTAAAGTTCTGTAGCCATCTTTAACAGCTTCAATTTCCTCCAAAGGGAAGTAAGGATTGATCGGGAGGGAAGGCATGAAATTTTAAGTCTACAAGGAACACTTGTAGTTCTTTTCTTTTTGTCTTTTTGAAACAGGGTCTTTCTGTAGCACCAGCTGGCCTGGAACTCACTATGTAGACCAGGCTGGCCTTGAACTCACAGAGATCCACCTGCCTCTCTGCCTCCTGACTGACTGCTGGGACTAAAGGCGTGTGCCACCTCACCTGGCTTGAACACTTGTAGTTCTAACATTGTAATTTCTCATTGTTTCACAGAGAATGGATTGGAGGGAGGAGACAAGACAGAGATCAGTTATAGGGCTCACACTGGAAAAAGGTGGCAAAAGAAAGGCCAAAACAATAAAAATCACAAAGGTTAAAATGTGTAAAAATAACAGAGACAGTAGTACTAATTTTAGTCTGTCAAGCTGCTATATCCAAACATCATCTATTAGGTAGTTTGTTAGCAACAAAAATTGAATCTCATAACTCTAGCTCTGCAAGGCCAGAAGCCCAAGATCAAGGCACTGGCAGACCTGGTGTCTGATGAGGGCATGCTTTCTAAGCAGCTGTCTTTTTACCATGCTCTCAAATAGCAGAAGAAGCAAGAGATCTCCCTTGGGCCTCTTTTATAAGGGTACTAATCCCATTCATGAGGGCTCTGATCTCATGTCCTGGTCATCTACAAAATGTCCCAGTGCCTTGAGGGTTTAGATTTCAACATACATTTAGGAGCAAGAAATTCTAGCCAGACAAGAATGTAATGATGATTTGACGGAGGAACAAATGAGGACAGAACATAGAGACGCAACAGTCTATTTCTGGCTCAGGAGATTGACCAGAAGTGGTAAATTGCTCAAAAATAGCACAAGTAAAGGGGGGTAAGTTGGAGAGGGAAGGGGCTCATACCCCGCCACCTCCTTAAGGATTTATAGGTAGTTACAGTTGCTGAAGGGGAGGGGATCGTAAGTCTTGTCTCTCTCAAGATCTACAGGTAGTTAGTGGTTTGGGGGAGGGATTTTCTTCCTTGGTGTAGCCACTTGTATGTTGTCCATGTTCCTATAAATAACCCCTCATTC